AGTCGTCATGTTTTGTTAGCCATGCTAGCTGTTCCTCCTCTGTTTCCAAGCTAAGCTAACTGGCTGCAGGCTTTGAGGCTGTACACATGCTGCGTCTTTAACCGCCTAGAAAACATGAGGTCTGGTGCTGGGTGCTATTCTTGTGCCTTTTCTGTGCCAGCTTTCAAGAGTGCAGCGGCAGGTTGTGTCTGAGGTTGAAAAGCAACCTTAACAAGCACCTAATCATAGCCTGTTTACCTGAAATCCTGAGTGCAGAGCTGATCTTCATCCAGACTCTGTTTGTGTGTAGGCCTATCGCCCATGGGGCAGATGTAAAACACTGGTAGTCATGCACTAAAATGAACAACTTCTCCATATTTACCACAGACTGATATTTCCAAAACAAAGGAAAGATATCTGCCAGCTGTGATTGGTTTATCCTCGTCACCTGATGATTGGTGCACACTGCTGCGTTCCAAAAGTTGAACACAGGGCGCAGCTGTCGTGCCATGAAAAACAGGCGCTCGGGAATGCGTGCGCCCCACATCTGTGTCGCTCTGCCATTTGAGCTCGCCCTGCCACATCTATATTGAAAATAATGAATTTGAGGGCGCAAAAAATGAAGCATGTGTACGGCCCCTTTAGCTTCACATTTAACACACAAACATAAAATGGATATTGATGTTCTCATCTAACTCTTTGCTAGAAAAATGTGTTTCCCAAAATGCTGAACTACTGCTTTTAAGTTACAAAATAAAAGTCTAGGATTGACTCTTAAATAGCAGTTGAATGCCTCAACAGTCTAAATAAACACAGAAAAATCGACTTGCTGAGACCTCAGGCTTGCTAAAGATGAGTACAGAAAACGTCAAATCAGCAGGCGGGTAGGCTCCGCCTTCTCATTTGCACTCATCATAGTGTGACTGGCTTGTACGCCAATCAGCTCCTTGTACTAACCTCAGCATATATTGCTTATGGCATATGGCTTAATGTGTTCAGGCGGAACTTGCGTTTGGTTCCACATTACGTTCATCAGTCTACAGAATATACCAAGTATTCTGCGTGTGGTTGCATGCATCACACTGTGACCCTCATACTGGGACAGTTCAACACACCAACCGTTACAGCTCTGATTTTTTGTGATAGAATAATGGTTGGCTGTGATGTATTAGCAACCCCCACAGATGGAGGATTTTACTGCTTTCATGGGAGCTCAGCCTCCACTTGCTCTCAATAACTCGAACCCTGATTTAGAACTTCAGAGGATGAAGAATGTTACTCAATCAGGAGAAACAGAAGAATGAAGTAAAGATAAAGTGTAATACAGAATATGAGTATAGATTAAACAAAAGTCCTCGGTGCTTAGACACCAGAGGGGGACTTTTGTGACTGAGGGACATCTAAGCGGCAGCAAGATAAATCCCTCCATGTGTCTAGACACTGGTGGTGGTGGCTGATGACTTTGAGGCTGATGACTGATGAGGTGAATGAGGCTGAATCTGAGAAGACTAGGCGGTGATGGGGAGGTGGAGAGTACACGCAGCTGAAGCATGAACGAACTGCGGGTAGAAAAAGGACCATATTTAAAACGAGGAGCAGTGAGATGATAGGCTGACAGAGAAGGCGTGTTGCTGTGCTATTGGTTGATTGTAGATCAGCTGTTGAACACACAGCCAGAGAATGAAGCATGAAAAGATATTGTCTTCCTGACTGAACTTCCACAAGAGCTTCATTTGTGTTTGAAAGCTCTGGAAAAGCTAATAAGTTGCCCTTAAGTAAAAAAATGATTGTGTCAATCCTCTGTTTCCTCCTGAAGGTCAAGCATAAACATTCATGTTCATTCACTTTATTATTTTGGTTGTAATATTGCTCTTTGACAGCAGACATTCTGACATGTCACAGTAGGAAATGCCCGGGTGTAAAAAATATAATTAACGATGTTTCATGGTTGGAGTGGAGAGCGGAGCCATCGTTAATGTCATTAGTCACATCAGGGCTTTTCCTACGGTGACATGTCAAAATGTCGGCTGTGAAACAGGCCTGTCGGCACGGTAATATAGTCAAGACTAGATTTTTTGTTTGTGAAAAGGGTATTTCAGGTCTTAGTGTGTGCTGTGTAAAAACACATTCACCAGTTTACAACACTGTTATAGTTTCTCTGGAAAAATGATTAGTTTAATAGTCCTATTGCCTAACTTCATCAAGCTGCTGAAGTGGACTCTTTATTAAAGGTAATTTTTTACAGTGTTGGAGTTGCTCGCAGTCATGAGCACACAGCGTAAGTGTGATGACCTGGATTTAAATTCAGTCTGGGACAATTGTTGCTCTCCCTCCATGTTTGCTCTTACTTTCCACTCTGTCCAAAAACCATAAAAAAGGCTTTGATATTTTAGCATTTTTTCAAGTTGTTCGAAAAGTTCCTCTTTTTTTTTGTAAACATATGTTTATTGATTTTAAACATTTAAAAGGTTGCACAAACATATACAAACCCCCCCAAGATAGAACATAATCAAGCATTACGTTTTCAAGGCGTCTTCAGTGTCACCATTTTTTACAAATTCCCAAAACATTTCCCAAATATTAATAAGCTCTGAAGCCCTATTTCTCACTATATATGTGAGTCTTTCAAGAGCCAAACTCACTGTAAAATCCTTCCACCTACAACCAAGAGGGGCAACTCACAATCTTCCAGCAGAGTGCAATTGAACGCCTCGCCTGTTGCAAACAGAATTCAACCATTGTTTTCTCTTTCCTAGGCAGGATGAAAGTTTATGGAAACATGTTTATCAAGCAGAGCCTAGGACTTAAAGGTCATGGGGATGAGGTCATCCAGGACACAAACTGTAGCACCGATCTCCAAAATGTTTTCATCTCAACACTCAAATTTGCTGTGATATTTGTTCTAATTAACCAGTTATATTGTAGTAATCAGTCAAGTGTTAATGGTTTGAGTTTGAGTCTTTGCACATATTGTATGCCATTCACTCTCTAAAATGTCCTGTTATAAGTCTTGAATCTATTCCGTTCTCTTACTATCCATGTTGTCCTTATGGTTATCAAACAACTGACGGTATAAATTAGACATCAGACCTTTCCTAAAGCAGTTCCTTACAGAAAATGCTTCTAATGTGGACAATGATGTTTTTGCCGTAGCAAGACAAAACAAAACTTCCAAGGCCATGTTTACACGAACATTTTCGTTTTGAAAAAAGTTCCACTTTCAGACAACAACGTTTTGAAAACAATCACCGTGCACACAGATCCACAAAAATGACCAAAAACGCTGTAGTATACATGCCAGGCAAGTGGCAGTGTGACTTTGTAAAAGTGATGTGATGTATAAACAAAATGGCAACCACACAAATGTTTGCCTGGATGGACGAGGAGGTGGAGTTACTACACTAAGTCTTTACTTTGCTGGAGAAGCGTTGATAAATTCAACAGGGTGAGCAGCACAAACAGAGCTCGGGAGTCCGCCATTGTTGTTGTGATGGTCGACTTTCTCACACATGCCTAGTGACTGGTACCGTAATGCGCATGTGCGAAAAGTCTCCGTTTTCAGAGGAACTGCTTATTGCAAGTTTGGTGCTGTTTCCTAAAAATTGCATTCTGGAACCCGTTTTAAAAACATTGCGTTATCAGGCACCCTAAGTGCCGATGTTGTGTCAACTAAATTTTACCGTTTTCGGTTGAAATTGTCGTATAAGCAGGACCTAAGTTTTTAAAACTTGAAAAAATGTTTCTGTGGCAAGTCATATCTCAACCTCAACTCCTCAAATGACATTAGATCGTTGTCCCTATAGATAGAGATCCTGTACAGTACAGAAGCCCTTGTTTAAATTTTCCTCTTTTACTGAAAAGGGTTTGCTAAATAAGAACAAACGACATCACGAACATAAACATAATAATGTCCTTGTAACATTCACAAACAACCGCCCAAAGAGTATGGCCCAGAACTTCTCAAGAGCATCTTTACAAAAATAAACTGAAGTCATTTTGTTGAGTCGCTCCTGCCATACAAATGCCGGTGCTATCGCCCAGTGTCGCGTCAAAATGACTGCATAATGCTCGCACTTTAGTCCATTTCTCAGCAGATATAAAGTAATGGCTGCTGTGTGATTGTGTCTGTAATTTTGCCTGCGTGCATGTGAGTGTGTAAGTGTGTGTGTGTGTTGCCTTTCCTCTGAGTTGGTATGCTGTGGAGCTTCTCGTCGATGCTCAGAGGCCAGCCAGTGCTCCGGTGCAAGAGTCATGCTGACGTGCAGCGACAACGGCTGAATGTATGATTAATTAAGCGACGCCTGTCCTGCCACGGTCGGCTTTGATAGAGAACAGCTCGTGATGAAACAGAAGGTGACCCACAAAAGAGACCAGAAGCTCAGGGACCAGCATCAGATGCACGGACACACACACACAAACACACATACGTGCACATGCATACATATGCAAGCACTTGTTTTTTGTACAATTTGCATAGATACAGGCACATGACGACGCTGAAGCTTTTATATATTGTGTGATAAACACTTAGAGACACGGTTATTTGCAGAAATGAATACAAAAAAGATCAATGTAATTAACATGTGACCAATGGCACGTGTTTGTCTCTTCCTGTGTGCAATGAAGCTGACTGTGAAATTCAAGGCTGTGTTTCACTTCTAACTCCCCTGACCCCCTCTTCCCACCGCCTGCCCGCCATCTTCCCTCCTCTGTTGCATCATCTCTCATCCCTCGTGCCCTCCAATACCCATCCTGTTATTACATCATATCCCTCTTCTCTCCTTTATATTTTACATTCCTTCCCACTTTTTTCACACTCTATTTTTTATTTCAATTCCCGTACGAATCATAAAAACACTTCTCCACATGTCATCATCATGCCCCCTCCTCTGTCTCGTCTCCATTCCTTCTTCTGTCCCACTACTTCTTTGTTGTTGCTCCAACTACCATCCCTCCTTTCCTTTGTCCTTCCTCTCGTCTGCCCATCCTCCCCCCCATGTCATCACATTCCCTCCATCCAGGTGAGATGGAGGAGCTGGAGTCCCTGTGGCTGACGGGAATCTGCCACCACGAGAAGAACGAGGTGATGTCCAGCCAGCTGGATGTGGACAACATGGCCGGTGTCTTCTACATGCTGGGCGCCGCAATGGCTCTGTCGCTCATCACCTTCATCTGCGAGCACTGGTTCTACTGGCAGCTGCGCTTCTGCTTCATGGGTGTCTGCTCCGGCCAGCCCGGCTTCGTCTTCTCCATCAGCAGGGTGAGACAGGGAGGGGAAGGGAAGGAGGGAACATCGAGAAAATGTGCTCAGACTTTAAATGTTGTCAAGATGAATAAATCATAAATGTATTTTTCTGTATGGCAAAACACAAAAAGTGGAATGTTCCCCACTGAGAGACGTCCATGAGCTTTTCATGGGTTGTGCTTCTTAACAAATATTCTGACTGACAGATGATTGGCAGCCATTTCTGTTCAAGTCCAGCACACAGGAGCTGATGCATTTCACACCATGCTTGTGTCTTCGAGCATCAAATCAAGCATAAGCCCAGTAGTATCACACCTGACTACCTGCAGCACTCTCCAAATTTTGCAGTGATATAAATTTAAGGGTGACTTAAATGTTTAAAATGTAACTCCTGAGATAAGAAATATCACATTATTCCTCTCATAAAGGAAAAGTTGCACCTTTACTCAGTTCTGTACACTCAGTTAGTCTGGTGTGACCAGTAGCATGGTGGCTAATTTAAGCTAACATTAGCAAACTTTAGATCAGACTGCTCTCAAATCAGCTCTTGAAGCACTGGTATTTGCAAGATTTCAGATCAGATTTGTGTGTCCAGACATCAACAATCTATCTACATGGGTTGCTGTGGTAACAACATAGGCATCAGTAGCTACGTAGCAACACTGATGACACAGCTTTCCAACATGGAAGCATGAGAATTCTCCATCTACAAACAACTAATTTTGGCGTCTGTCCACGGACTGTTGTTCCTCATGTTGTCCTTTATAGCTTTCGCTGGTAGCAGCATGGACCTGGTCAGCACTTCGTCACTCTGGATTTGACGTTGTTGTCTCGTATTGTGTTAAAAGATACTTTGGAATCCGATTTGAGTGTCTGGACTGAGATGCATCTGTAGAAATTGGATTTGAATTGCATTTCAGACCACTTCCAAATGTGGTTTGGATCACTTCTTTTCTGTCCAGACTTCCTAAAATTAATCTGGATACAATCTGGACATGCCAGAAAAACTATTTGGGCTGACAGTCTCAACAAGGTCCGTGAGTTTTCTGTACTTGAGCTACTGTACCCGTTTTTTGCACATACCAATAATGGTAAACCACACACACCTGATAGCACAAGATAAACCCTGATTAATATTGTCAGGACTCTGTAGCATTCTTGCTTTAAGATATAATCTTTGCTTATATCATGAAGTATGCCAGAGGCAGAGCCAGATGTTTTAGACATTTGGGGCTCAGCTCAAACCTTAGGGGGCCCAGGGTCCTGCTTCCTTAGGGCATCTTTTTTTCCCATTTACAGCAGCTATATGCACTATTCTCCAACCCATCTGAGATAATAGACTGACTAAAAATCTTTACATCATCTGGGAAAAACACGATAATAGCGAAGGAAAAAAAATCTGTAGAGCTTACATTCTATTTTGTACAGAACATAAGTAGTGTAGGAATTTAATCAGCATTACTAATCTTGAAACCTGTTTTCATTATACTGTGCTGGAGTGGAGTTCACAGAATGAATGCTAAATCTGCTGCAGTTGAATCCATGCCACAATAATCAGGGCTGCTTTAATAGCAAATCAGAGCTCCCAAACAATGCCAAGTAAATGTGGTCCTCAGTACTGTGAAGTGAATAAGAGGGTGCCTTCACACCTGTGGTTTGGTTCATTCGGTCCAAAGCAAGTGGAAAACAATGATAAATTAATGTATGTCGCTCTGGTCTGGTTCCTGTTCACACTGACTTCTTATGAACAAATCAAGAGGAGTAAACATGAAGTTATACAGACTGACAGGTGACCTGTTGATTAGACAGTTTTGGCATTTGTCATCCTGCATCATCAGGACCCACGCGGGGAAATCAAATTCCACTGACTGACAGACGTTTACGCCGCACTTTGATATTGTTGATGCTTATATTTATGTTCTTTGGTCACAGTGAGCTCACACCCACACACAAAAAACCCTCATTATAAGCATTGTTAGTATTATTAGACTGCAAACAGATCTCACATTATGAATAATGAATAACGTGGAGACAGGACGAAAAGGAGGCGTTGTGTACCGTAATGATTGGGAGCTTATTACTGTCACACACATTGTAATGGACATAATAAACTGAAAATACAATCACTGCAGTTTTTAACAGCTTTTTAATCAGAAATAAACCTGCGCTGACATGAATATGTGTTACCATGGTTACCAAATGATAAGCATAAATAGGTTATAGCCTATACATGACCTCCTGAGGTATAAAGGGGAAATAAAGGGGGTAAATAGGACAGAATGGGGTGAGGATGTAGAGAAAGGTTTGAGGAATTAAAAGATAGATAGAGGCTGATAATCAGCGATGAAAAACCCCTTTAACACAGAGACCACGCTATAGACACGTGACAAAGGCCCCTCTTTATGCCTCCTTTGCATTTTTACACAAAACCAAACAACAGCGGCATCAAGACGCTCCAGTGTGTGATTATAGACAGCATGCTGGCATCACGAATTCAAAAGAGGCGTGATGGGCGTGACATGTAACACAACAGCGTCAGCCTCTAGAATGACATATAACATATGCATTGGTAGCACTTTATAAACAATAACAATGGCATAACATGCCAATAACACTCATTTACCCCCCCTGTTATGTGGCAGCTGATCCTGCCCTCTGCTCGGAGGGTAAGGAGCTCACAAATCTCGTTGTTTTTCCAATTTGTGGAAGTTTTTGACCACTGTTCTTTTCTGAGGTTGCCGCTAACACATCTTTGAAGTGTCACAGCCCATGGTCCTCTCCTGTCAGCTGTCCTGTTTATACAGACACTGTTTCGATGCTGTTACTATCTCCTATGATGGCTTGAGTGGGATTTACACTTGTGCGTCAGCCCTATACAGAGTCTACACCGTAGCCTACGCATGTGGCCTATGTCGTTGTGAGCATTTCTACTTGTGCAGTGGTGTGTCTGTGTCACTCTGCAGTTACACCATCAAAACACTAGTCGGTGGCGGGGTTTCTGTGAAGTGCTGCAAAGTTTAGTTGATTCAAAACACACATTAAACACATATTTCCCCACAAATACAACATGCTAACAATATTAGCATAAGCCTTTGGCATTTTACATTGTATAAATTAGCCCAGTGGCTAGCAGAGTTTTCCCTCTTCTCATATGAAGCCAGGGACAACAGCAACATTAAACAAAGGTAACGTTACAAAATTTGGCTCCATTACAACTCACAAAGTTCACTGACAAAACAACTGTCTTATATTAAACACATTTTCCAAACAAATACAACATGCTAATATTATTAGCACAAGCCTATAGCATTTTACATTGTTTAAATTAGCATAGCAAATAGCGGAGATTATGAAGCCTGAATAAATCACACACAAGACTTAAAATGCTATTTTTGTGGAGGCTTTATTGTCTTCACAATTTAATGTTTCTTATCTGTGAAATAAAATTGAATAAAATCTTTGTTTCCACTGAGGGAAATGGTTTCAGCTTACAAAAATAGACAGGAGGTCTGCGTCGCTGCAACGTGTAGTTACATTTCTGGGGAGGTGCACGTCAGGCTACAACGTTGGGTATGGTGTAGGCTCTGTGTTGATGCAGAAGTATAAATCCTGCTATAAAGGTAAGACAACTCTGTCTCCCCATTCTGCGATCGTACCTTATTCACAGCACGGCGAGGCGGCATTACGGCATAATATTCCCACCTTGAACAGTCAGTGTGAAAGGGGCTAAAGAGCAATGCTAGCATGAGCCAAAGTCAACAACTAACAAGCACACTTTCTCAGTAGAATTGTCTGTCGTTAACAATAAATCCAAATAGTTTATATCTCTCCAATTTATTCCTGCGTCACCGACTCGTCCTCGTCTGTAAAGTGACCTTCATTACTTGTTTATTCAGAGGTGTTACTGGCTGTAATGTCACTGCTTTATTCTGCTCTGGAGATGCTAAAATTGCAAATGAGCATGTCACCAACACAAACAGATATTAGAGCGCTTTCCTTTTTGTCTCGATGGTGAGGCCTCTCTGTCGTCCATGGGGTAAATATTTACAAAATGTTGAGCCAAAATCAATATTTCACTCAACAAAAATCAGCCACAGAACCGGTGAGGGTAGATTACTGGATCCCAGGAGACCAAAGTCACCCCCGAGGTATTTGATTTGCATTCCAATTGTTTTGACATGGCTTCGGTGTAATTCACTGTGTGCCTCTGAAGGTGAACCGCTGCAGGCTAAACCACGTGGCTAATTTACAGCAGAGAGCCCCCCCCCCATTTGATATGCTGCTGTGGCGCCGGGGCTGCTTGTGCCAAGAAAGCAAGGCAACGGGGAAAAAAACCAACATAACATTTTCCCCTCTCAGCTCTAATATTACGCTCCAGTGCTCAACTTTGATTATTTTGTATGGTGTTAATTTCACGTGGTTGCTGTCGCCTTGTTTACGGTCGTGCGTGCTTGTCGGCGCCTGTTTGTGTAGAAGGAGCATGAAATATCAGTTGCTGAAATGTCAGCTGACTTCTCATTTCCAAAGACAGGCTGCTTGGTGTTGTTTTTGATTATTACATCATTATAATTTGTATGGGGGCTGGATCTGAAAGCAATTATGCTTTGTATAACATCCAGTGATTGCTCTCATTTGCAGAAATTACCTCTGTCTTTGCTACAATGTGACAACGTAAATGAACGCTGAGTGTCCACAAATACAGCCCGATGATTCAGTATGTTAAAATATTCAGGGGAAATATTCATTCAGAGTGCTCATTTGCATATGTAGCACAGACATCGCCAAACAACAACAGTGGAAATTACGGTTTATTATCTTTCCACAATCCGCAGCTTCACATTGTCTCCTTCTCATTTACTCGAGTGTTTTCTCTCTCCAGCCTCGGCCGTTTCTTTGTCTCTTTTTTTTCTTTCTTCTTCTTCTTGCTCTGCCACTCAGATTGATTCCGCTTTTTTAATTTCACAGCATAATCCAATAAACTTTATTGTTATTGCCGCAATTAACATTTAAGCTCG